AAGGTCACCCTCAGCCTCAATTTCATCCATAACTGTAAAATGGCCTTTTGAAGTTGTGCACGTCATCATCTTTTGCATTGTACATACCGTTTCATGCAGGCTCCACATTCAGATGGAGAGGTGTGCAAAGTTCCTTTCAGAGGATCATGAGCCTCACAGTGGAATGCCTGTGGTAGTACAAACAAACAAACAAACAAACAACAATCTTGATTGTGCTCTTGATACAAAAAGTGTAAACACATTAAAAGGAAATAATGTGAAAAAAAGAGAGCACAGCCAGAAATACATGTAGCAATAGACTGCTGCAGTCCAACTTTTCTCTTAAAATCTGTCCAGTTCTTATCTCAGCAAGCACGACTGCAAACCACGACGTTATGATACAACAACGGATTGGGACCAGATGAGAAAAGACGGACTGCAGACTCTTTTGTAGTAAACAAACCTTCCGTCAGCCCAGAAACAGAGTAACCGATTGGTCAATTTTACTGCTGTTGACAGATCATTGACTGGTCTGTGGCAGAGATGCAAGCGATAAAAATAGTCACGCATCACAACTAACTACCAACAATTACACACCTAGTGGTAATCACTTGTAAACCAAAACGTGTAAGGATATGTGACCTTTCATGCGAAAACGTGCTATAACGACCTTCCGTTAAACGGGTGAAACGAACGGCCATCGAACGGGTTACAAACGGGTCACCAAGCCGTTTTAAACGGGTTTCAATGAGTGTTCGAACGGGTGATTAAGTATTCCGAACGGGTAGCTAAGCCGTTCGAACGGCTCGGGGGAAAATTGTGAACGGGTAGCCTAACCGTTCGAACGGGTTGTAGAACATTCCAAACGGGTAAGCAAAGCGTTCGAACGGCTCATAAAAAATTCCGAACAGGTAACCAAACCGTTCCAACGGCTCATAAAAAAATTCCGAATGCATATATAAACCGTTCGAACGGCTCAGAAAAGAATTTCGAACGGGCGATCTAACCGTTCGAACGGCTCATGAAATCTTCGAACGAGCAGTCACGAACGGCTTACAAACTTGATGATTGTAGTTTGTTTTGTTTATTTCGAATGGTGCCGTGCCGCTACACATCTCACTTAAAATTAATTTCGAACGGATGGCTTTCAATCGTTGAAACTGCTCCTGTTTATTTCACCACTGAAAGCCAAAGAAAGTAAACTTGAAACGCAGAGAACAATTCGTAACTGAGTTTGCTGAAGCGGAACTCGAAAGAAAATCAACGGCGAATGCAAACTTGCTAAGTATTTGCGGTGATGTTTTTCCTAGCTTTCTTACAAAACAAATACCCAACTTTTTGTTTCTAACAGTTCCCGATACATTTTCAAATTGTATGCTATGCTCGACCTTTACTTTTGACTACGACTTAAACGCATTCCCGTCAGTTCAGTTCGGTTGCGTGTCACTACACTGATCTCGATAAATTTGCATACAAGTTACACAACAGTGACAGGTAACACAACACCAGCCAATCACATCAATCACTTTGACAGTCGGACGCAAATTCAGGGCATCAAAACAACATGGTTGTTATCTCAGTGCATGCTGCCGTCTTAAAGATTTCATTCAGTGGATTCTCTTCGAAATAAGAGGAATGCACAAGGCAGACTCATGAGATTTCGGTGTTCAGAAAATCATTTATGTGCTTATCACAACCATAGTTATACCAGTAATGTTTATTAAACCGCATTGTAACACAGGGTAGAATTTAAGAAGTTTGCTTCTATAGGCGACTGATTACCGTATGTTTAGAAGTGCAAAATATATTTTCTGCAAGAGCTCTTTTCATTTGTAATTTACTCACGCAGCGGTTCAGACGGTTCAAGTGATCGGAGGGCTAAGAACACGCGAGTACGCGAACAGGAAAAGACAACCGCTCATATGACTGTCTCATACTCAAGTCGTTTGAACAGATGGATGTTCCAGCGAACGGGTGAGCAAGTCGTTCAAACGGTTGGATGTTTTTAACAAACGGGTGAGTAAGTCGTTCGAACGGTTGGACGTTTTTATCGAACGGGTGAGCAAGTCATTCGAACGGATGGATGCTTTTACCAAACGGGTGAGCAAGTCATTTGAACGGCTGGACGTTTCTATCGAACAGGTGATCAAGCAGTTTGAACGGATGCAAATTTTTTTGAACGGATGACCCAGGTCGTTGAAACGAATGCAAATTTCTTTCAAACGGCTTTCAAACGGGTTCTAAACGGAATTCCGTTCGAAAACGGAAAGCCGTTATAGCACGTTTTCGCGTGAAAGGTCACATATCTAACAGAAGGAAACTGCTGTAAACTTCCTCAAGGGAAAGGAATTCAAGGCAATCTTACTGGATTTTAGAAAAGAAAAATTTTTCAGTTGTTTATGTTCTATTTATAAACCGTCTCAGGTTAATTGGGTTTAAATTGGTTAATTAAATTACCCTGACAGCTTTGTTGTCCCCACACAGAACAAAAGAGTTAGCTGTCTCTTATTTTTCCCTCTCGGGCTTACGCCCTTGTTTATCACTGCTCGGGGCTGCACCGCTTGTGTGCTTGGGTTTCGCGTGCAGTAAGTTCACAAAGAAAAATGAGAGACTGCTCCCAGTCTAAAATAGCAAAAGCTAATCGCGCTGAGTGGCTGGGCGTATAGAAACAGTTCCTCATTAATTTAAATTCATTAATGGTCTAGATTTCGGGTTAAAAAAAAAAATAAAGGGCAGGACTTGGTTTCCTTCCTCAATTCCCTTGCTCTTAAAAGATTAAATTAATCAGGGAAACCTACAGAATTAAAGATAAGACACAGCTGAATAGAGTTTTTTTACATTTCACTTAAAACAAGTCGTCTACATAGCTCAATTACGTTTAGCCAAATGAAGCTCTTCAATATTTACCTGCGTACAGAACAAGACACTGGGTCCATGATATTCACAAAAGTGGCACAAGGCTATAATAGCGTTCATCTTCAAGGATGTCAGAAGCTTGCAAGTGTTTGTCTACTCAGCACTCGCACGTACAAAATGTCACGTCATCTTGAGTTAGCAAGTTCAGTGTTTTTGCGGAAGAAATGTTGAGCCAATTTTCAAAACGAAAGGAACTTTAACTCCTTTTCGTTTGTGCTCCCGTAAAATAACGCTGCAACGAAGAAATCCTGAGTGTTTTTAAAGCTCAGCTGAGAACTGCATGATCACTTTCGACCGCCATGACAGTCACATGATAAACACAATTGTGCTGCGCATCCACGCCTTTATTCTGAACCTGGGGGCTCTGGGTGGATTCTAGTGCCAGTTTCGCGCGGATGTCTCACGAATTTAAAATACCTGCACCAGAATCAATTTGAACTTTTTTTCTAATCCGGGTGAGGTTTTAAGCCCTTATTTGCACAAGAAAGCAAAAGCCTGAAGGATTCTGGCCAAAAGACGTCATTTTGCAAATCGTCTGTTCATCTCCTTGTTCAGGACGTCTTTTAAGATTTCCCTCGAAGTACTCATAAATCATGTGGTTCCGCGCTCCCTGATAAAGGAAATCGGTCAGTGTAAAACGCAGACTGCGGACTGCAGACTGCAGACTGCGGACCAGGAGTAAACTGCAGACTGAGTGTAAAATGCACTGACTGCAGACTGAGAGTAAAACGCAGGCTGGGTGCAAAATGCGAATAAAGACTGTAGACTTTTTTAAACATTTGTGCTCCTTCTTCTCCAAATCGGTGAAATCGCTAGCCCGTATCAGTTACACACTTCGCTTCCTAGTCGAAGTGCATTGCACATTCGCCAGAAGTTTCAATGAACATCCGAACAGCTTGAGTCTGTGTACCTTGATTTGCAATACTTTCATAAAAGGTCATCCAAATTTCTTGCAGAACATCTTTCTTTGTTGCTGGAATGATTTACTCCCTTTTTTATCGCCATAATTCTTCCTTTGGGTCAGCAGCTTTCATTTAAGCGTAAACATCGTGGTGTTGTACTAATTCAGGGTCCCTGGTCACTTATATCGAAAACTTCGTGTCTAAAGTTGAAGCGTGCGGTCGCTCGAACAGAAAAAAAAGGTTCAAGATTGCGATTATGTTTTTGGGTCGTCGACGACGTTCTAGAGAAGAAAGTCCTGAATGGATTTGTGAAAGCAGATGTCTTCAAGTAAGTGTTCGTTTACATGTATTTGCGGGATTTTTTGGCCCGTAAACCCTTCCACGACTACGGTTTATGCTCGGTCTGCATTTTACCCCAGCCTGCATTTTACCCTTACATTTTACCCCTGGTCCGCAGTCTGCAGTCCGCAGTCCGCAGTCCGCAGTCTTCCCTTTACACTGACCGTAAAGGAAATGAAAATGGGACTTTGTTCGTGTTGTACACATTTGTTATTACAGTACGACTACTCGAACCAGGGGCACTTGGAAGAAGAGTATCCAATCACAACGTTTTTGTTTTTGTTTTCTTTTTTTGAAAACAAAAGATTCTCAAGTATTTTTTTGCAAACGGACCAATAAAATTCAAGGTTCAACAATGTAATCGTTGAAAACTTTAAAACCGTTAGAAATTAGCTGTCCTCTCAGGAAACAGCCCTCAAATTCATGAATGTTATTTGTCCGTTTGCGAAAAAAAACTTGAGAATCTTCTGTTTTCGAAAACCGTCTTGATAGGATAATCTTCATCCAAATGCCCCGGTTCGAGAAGTCGCACTGTAAAGGGGATCAATGAATTTGAGTAAAATTATCTACGTGTGCTGCGACCGCGAATAGCCTGCGTAGCAAGCGTTTCCGGCAATGCTCGGAAAGTTGTGACTTTTAGGACTAAATAAACAAACAAGTAATACGCCATTACTGATGAGTTCAAAAAACTCACTTTCGAAACGCGGGTAAGTGCAAAACCTTTGTTGTGAAAATCAGTTTGTTTGCATGAGGACAAAAAATAGTTTTCTTATCAATGGCTTCGAACATAGCCTCGCTTTGAAACAGAAGCTTGAGATATAATGACGGCATCAAAAGAATTTTTTTTTTCAAATTTTAATTAATGCCAGCATTAAATTTTTAACAAATTACGTTAATTATTATATAAAAAATGCTATTTTCATTGTCAATAGACCACAAAATGTTTGGACAAGATGACAGATATTCTAGATATTCTCTATTTTGGATATTCTAAAGTTCTTAACTTGAGAGGTGAAATCAAACATGCCTTTTTTTTGCTCCTTTTTAACGGCCGATGAGCTAAACATAGTTAGCCTAGACTATTTAGTACCCAGTTACTCTTGGTGTTGGAAAGCGGAGACAAATCATTCGAATCCGGTTAAATCAAAATACGCAGCACATTTTTTCTTCAATTTTTCTATATAAGCCTTGTTGTTCATCCTTTGGACAACTGTTGACTGTTTAACAGTAATATCCACTTTTGCTTGCCCATCGATTGGATTAATCTCAACCTGGCCCATGAGAAAGAACGTTACTTTGGGCAACGAGGGGCAGGGACAGCCTGGTGTCTTGCCATGGGGGACACTGATGACCGCAGTACCCACAGAGAGAGACCCATTTGTGTTCTTCAGGATCTTGCTGATTGAAACTAAGTATCGTGTAGTATTCTTAGTCGAATTGTCTGGTAGGTTTCTTTGGACTTTGCCTACGAAAGCTGAAAATGAGAGAACAAATCACCAAAAAGTCAGACACAAATAACTTATTAGATGAGAATAGGACAGTTCGTTTGGAGGCAGCGTTGCCGCGTGACCAGTTAAAGCCGGTGCTGGAATTGCAATTCGGAAGCTCACGGTTCAAATCCCGTTCTAACCGCTAGCTGCTTTTGTTTTTGATAGCCACTACGCTTGTATAATAGCCAACTGGTTTGACTCCTGCTAGTTGTGATTCCTAACCTTCTTAATATGTTTATTTTAATTATTTGTTTTTGTCATTATCTGTGGGTCACAAAGAAAACAATTGGGTTATCAGTAGTTATACTTTCCCTATAAACTAAGTCAATTTTCTTTCATGTTCTTTGCAAATAGAATATAAGGAAGGCTTGGATATAAACTGACAACTTACCATAATCACTTTCTTTGCAAGCCACCCGAATTTTCACTTGGCGCGAACATTTTGGACAGCCGGCATTCCTTGCCTTATCTTAAAAGGAAAATGAAGAATTACTTATTAAGGATTACGTACACAGGTTCAATTTTAGTGTAGGTGGAGTGTAGGTGATAATTCGCATTGATACATTATACTCCAGAACTCGTTCAAACCTAAAACTTTACTCATACTTATACAGAATGTTATCAGGCGGATCCGCTCAATGCATCTGCATCCTTGTCCCTTTTAATCTTACAGAAAATTGAAAAAAGAAAAAGAAAAAAGAAACGAAAAAAATAAAAATAATAAAAAAATTATATCTAGAAGAACTGCCAGAAACCTTATTAAAAAAAACTGGTTACTAATTCTAAGTTATATTAACCTGGAAAGCAACAGAAAAATAGAATGAAAGGCTACCTCAGTTAAGCATGTGAATGTAAACCATTTTATTCGTGTAAAATCATATTCAATATTAAGTTAATCTTACTATTAATTACCAAATAAAAACTTATATATTATCAGCTAATTACCGGTTGGTGGGCATCTTTGATTGCACTTTTCTTTGGTTTCAAAGTTGTTTTCTTTTCCAAAACAGCCTCCATAGTTGAACCGTTTGCAGCGCCCAGCTTTTGGGTTAAAAGCCCATCGAGTCACATTCGTCTCACAAGGTCCTGGATCAGCCGGCTGCCCACAAACATCCACTGGAGAATAACGAATAATTCAAAAATAACAGCTCGTTATGTAATTTCTCACAATGCCTTCATGACCAGTGTCTTTGAAAGAGGGGAACATGAAGAGTCCAGACCTAGTTAATAAGCTGCCTTTTTTAAGCATTAAAACAAGCAGACACGTAAATTAAGGCAATTATACGCCAAATTGTACGCTTTCGTATGTTAGAAAAAGAACGCCAGGCAAGAAAGCAAGGCACCTCAAAGATGGCGGGTGGAGAATTCAACGCGTACTGTATAACCTCCACCCACTTGTAACCGCTCTGTGGTCGTAGCCAACTCGAAAACTTGGCTTCTTTGGCTGCTACGCACTTTTTTCCTTTGTTACGTTTAATTCAATGTATAGTTAGCTCTGTTTTACTTCTTCTTTTTTTCTTATTGTTTTTTGTATTGTAATTGAATAATTGTGCCTGTGAATAAATGAACTTGAACTTGAACTTGAACAAGAGGATTGGATATTAATCAGCTCGCTAATGCTGATTAGTGGTTTTCGCGCGAACTCCTTACCCATAGGGTTGATTGAAGTCGATCTTATGTGATTTATGATCGTGAGTATCCATGATTCTGAAACTTAATTCGACGGTCACCAAAGGTTACGGAGTGTGGGCGACAACGATCGAAGGTCGAAACGCTTTTGCCCCATCGCTGTGCTTTGGGCAAGTTTCACGTGCAGACAGTCAAAACACGCGTGATCAGATAACGAGTGAAAGAGGGTCGAAACACGCATGATCAAATTGAGTTCTGTGCATTCCGTTCATCCTTAGTGGAAGTCCAAAAGAATGCTGGCTACATACATGCGACGCATGCGTAACCACAACCTGGAGATTAGGATTGCGGGCTTAGGATTGCCCGCAATTAGACCATAGTCAATAGAGTGGAATGGTTTTGAAGGCTGCCAGACTCCTTTGTTATATGTTTTTGTGGACCTGAGAGTGCATAACTATCAGTAGCATTCCTATCATTTTAATCTTATTGACCAATGCAAATGTAGAATNAAACTTAATTCGACGGTCACCAAAGGTTACGGAGTGTGGGCGACAACGATCGAAGGTCGAAACGCTTTTGCCCCATCGCTGTGCTTTGGGCAAGTTTCACGTGCAGACAGTCAAAACACGCGTGATCAGATAACGAGTGAAAGAGGGTCGAAACACGCATGATCAAATTGAGTTCTGTGCATTCCGTTCATCCTTAGTGGAAGTCCAAAAGAATGCTGGCTACATACATGCGACGCATGCGTAACCACAACCTGGAGATTAGGATTGCGGGCTTAGGATTGCCCGCAATTAGACCATAGTCAATAGAGTGGAATGGTTTTGAAGGCTGCCAGACTCCTTTGTTATATGTTTTTGTGGACCTGAGAGTGCATAACTATCAGTAGCATTCCTATCATTTTAATCTTATTGACCAATGCAAATGTAGAATTAATTCATTTAGTCACAATTTGTGAACAGAAAGTAAAGGAGTGTTCACCGTCAGGGATACACTCGATTTCCACTGCTCTCTCCGTCTCGACTAGGTCCTCCTCGAGAATAGATTGTTCGGGAGAGAAGCGCGGGTTCATTTTCCAAACAGCGGCTGGTAATCGAGCTGCGTCAGAGAGCTTTCAATTTAACCCTCGGAAGTACATGTTTATGTTTGCCGCTTTTCATAATCTGTCTCCTCTACTGACTATGATTAAACGAAAAAAGCCTTAAACGAATAGCTACGTTTGACCACGGTGGAAGCGCAGTAAGCTACCTGAACATGTACGGTTGCAATCGTCCATGCTAGTGAAGCCATTCCATCCACTTGGATGACACCCTCCGGCAACAATTGACTCGCACATTTTAGAGCTCATGTTGAAATAAAAGTGGTTGAAGTGAGCCCTGCAGTTGCTTATGGGAACAATCTGGCAAATTCCACCTACAATAAAGTGAAAAAAATCTGTTGGAGTAACGCACGTCACCCATGATGCGAACAAAATAAACTAAACTTTAGTTACAAACCCCAGCTCCAGATTAAGTCTCATGCAGGTTAATCTTAGTTTTTTTTCCCTCGTTGGAAAGTATTTAGATCAGCATTACTGTATTTCCATAACATTTTTGCAATGGCGTGCGTTTAGCATAATTAGTCCCATTTTTGACCCATAGGACCACCAATCCACCATATAAAACACATCTCGCCCAGTATTTTTCTATTTTGCTGTTCAAGAATGTTAAACAATTTAATTCCCAGCTGGGGTAAAGGTGAGGTACTGTTCCCAATAAAATGTGGAATAGAAATGAGGTGTTTACCTCTAAAACAAAGATACTCATACCTGGTGCACAGAAACCATCTGCTGCCTTCTTTACTGACTTGCCTTCTCTACAGGCTGTCGCCTTCATGATGCACTCGTTGTTGTATCGCTTTGCATCTGAGCCGCAAACTGGCTTGAACTCCGCGGGACAGTCTAGATCATCTCGACAAACACAGATGGGACCCTTTCTGCCATCGAACACGCATTTCTCCCATGTTTCACACTTCGTACTCTCACAGAGATCTATAAATGTTTTCCATTAAAGGAAATAAATGAATAAAAAAAATTATAATTTACTCTTTGCAATCCTTCTGAGTTGATCTGTGAAGAAAAAAAAAGATCAAAGCATCACTTGCGCTCTGACATAACATTGACGGTTCTAGCATTATGTTTTCTTATTGACCAGTGGCCGTACCGAAAAATCACCGCAATAAAAACGCATTAGTTGTTCGGGGCAAATATGATGCCAAAAAATGCAGACTTTAAGGTTAAGTTTTAGGCTGCAAAGATGGTAAATGACTGCAAATTTGGGTTATCAGGAATTACCACATATTTAAGTCTCATCTCCTCTCCTATTCCCCCCTCCTATTATGCACTTTTATTGCGTCATATTTGCCACGAGCAAATTAGATGTAACTCTTATTTTTTCCTCAGTGTAACAGATGTATTGATCCCCGGCTGCGCTAGTCTACCAGGGAGACCGTTATTTGCCAAGTAAAGGTCAAAGTAAATCTTTACATTTGCCCTCAACTCGGTCCACGTGTCCATCACTAATTAGACACCTAACCAAAGAACCAGCTTGCTGAACCAATCCACAGCTTAGTCACATATTAGAAACACAACAAGAACTATAGCCTCACACCTTTACAGATTGGCACAATTCCATTCCACTGTCCATCCGCCTGACAAGTAAGGGTTGAACTCCCTATCAACTCGTATCCCTGGTTACAGGTGAATGACACAGAGCTACCGATACCAAACTCATCTCCTGTTCGTTTACCATTCTTGGGAGGAAAGACGTCTAAGTCCCAGCATGACGTAACTATGGAAAGATGTGAATATGTTAAGATAAACCAGTGCTGTTTATTTTCACTTCGTTTACACTTTTAAGGGACCATGTCAAGCGATGAAGTATTTCGATTGATGCACAAAAGCAGAACATAACTGCTACGTATCCCAATAATTTCTTTGTAATTTATGATGCGGTTAGAGCTGCCCTCAACGGCCTTATTCGTGAGGAGCAAGATGTCCGGATGGGTGAAGTGGCTGAAAGTGCAGCGACATTGACGTGTAGAGATAAAAAGTGCTCGAGGCAAAAAAGAACAGTGGCATCAAGAGCATCACATTTAAATACAAAAAGATGAATTGGAAAAAAAATCGTGACATTACTTCAACTTGGCAGTCAACGTTGGGAGAGTCGGTGTCATCCTAATTTCAAGAATTTAAGATAACAAGGATTTATACTTACTTTTGCAGGTGGGTTGAACTCCTGTCCATAACCCACTGGCTAAACATGTTCGCTTGCTGGAACCCATCAACTGAGTGTTTATCTCACAACCATATTCAACTTCAGTACCAGGAATGAATTCGAGAAGATCGTCCTCTCTAAAGCCTCTATCTGGCTTTCCTGGATCAGGGCATGACGCTACAATGGTAATTAGAGAGAGATTTAATTTTGTAAACTTCATCAGTAAAAAAATATGGTGATGTTTAGGTAGAATTTCATTACTTTGTGGAAGACAGGTATTGCATGTTGGAAAATGAAATTTGAAAACATGACTTTTTGGCAAAATTAATTTTAAATGTTCAGCTTTTGCGATGCAGCTTTTAATACTCTTAACAAAAGCTTTAAAATAAGTGGTAAGGAAAATGTGATAAATTTACACGAAATGAAGTGACCAAAATGGGAGGATTCCTTGACACGACTTGCCACTATCAATCACTTTAATTTTTGGCTGCATTTTGTGAACATTTTCCAGATTGAGATAAAAAACGTCCACTCTGTACCAGGCACTGATTATGTACACTCTCATAAAGGATACCAACTTCACGTAAGAACCTTGTATTTACAGTACCTTCCTATCCTAGAGTAGCGCTAAAACGCGTCGAAAACATATACAATTATATAATTATATAATCCGTTCATAAAAGTGCACCCCTCCCCATTTAACAACCAATGCTTTCGCATATTCTGGTTCATTTAACTCGTACATTTGCTTTTTAGTGCTCTGCTCAACAGTTTCTACGCAAACAGGGTAATACTGACTTAAGTTGTTAAATTATACAAGTCCCATTTTCCCTTCTACTTAAGGATATTGGTGGCGAACGTACCGCAGAACCTTGGGGGATCTAGAGTCCGAATGGATTCAATAGTCAAGGTTGCTGTAGTTCGTCGTTTGTCCTCAAATGTCACGGAATATTTTTTATCGTTAATCGCGTCAACCTTAGCAAATGTATACTTTGCAGTGTTTGGGTGTTTTGCTATGAGTTTTGCTCCCAGGAAGATATCCTTCGAAGGAGGAACTTTGTCCTGCACGATGATGTAATGCTGTGTCCCTCTTCCTAAAATTACGACGTCCTCTTCTTCGTCAGAGGGTTGAGTCAATACTGTCACCACATATCCACGCTTTTCCTTGATAAGTCCTTGGATAAAACGGATGCCTTTTCTGATAAAAACGGGAGTGTCTACTCCAGCACATTCTGTGGAAGAAAACACAAAAATATTCAACACGTTCTTTTTTTAAAAGGTTTTTACTTCTTGCACCTGCCTCGATATAATGAACATGCTTGTATCAGAATTGATACACTGTATAATTGACGATAATTGGAACAATTCCTACTTGGTGCTAATTGACCTAAACATAATATTATTGCTAATTTTATTCCAATAAGGCCAGTGTTTGTAAATATCAGACACATGTCAGATTTCATTACAAAGAGCATACTCCAGTAAAAATGGGAGTTGAGGTTCATGGAATTTATCATGATGAAAATGAGGCATGTGAATAATCTGAAATCTCTGAGAGGAAATTGGGAGTGAGGAAAGAAATTTTAAGTTCATCGTTTACCGACGCAGTAAGGTTGAACGCCCGTCCATTTTCCACCTCCCTCGCAGCTTCGCTCGTGAGACCCGAAAAGTATGAATCCTTTATTGCAAAGGAAAGATAGCTTCTCGCCGTACTTGAAAACAGCACTTCCACTTCTTGAACCGTTTTGTGGTGTACCGGGATCTTCGCAAAATATGGCTGCACATGCAACAAAATGATGGAAAAACAAATCTCAATCAATAATGGCTGAAAGGTAACATTGGAACTTGAATTTGTCCTTTTATCAGTAAGAAAATAGAAGTTGATCATGAGAACCCGATAATGGGATTTGGTCAGTAAAGGGAAACACGATCTGCAAAAATACAGGTGGAATATAATTATTGCCCTTCTTAAGCTCCCGAACAATTTTCATCTTAAAAGATTTGTGTTTTAATTAAAAGAAATTAACGCGTGACAGCTAGTTTGTGTAAATCTAACACGTGTTCTGGACTTCAGATGACTGTCGCTGCATTCCTTTATCGTGAATTGGCGAACAACAGTTTCTTTTTTTCTCAAACAAAATTTGAAATGAATGAAAGAATCGGAATGTATCATGTACATGTTGTAGAGCAAGGAAATTTAAAAGTCCGCTGAAATATATATAGGTTTTATTGACAACCTTCATACATCGTACATAATCTTGCTATTGAGTATTACTTTCTATACATATCAATTTTATGTTTAGATATCGCTCAGTTTACAACTCTTGGAGACATTTCATCATAACCACATGATTTGTCGATTTTCAGTTGTTTCAGTTCTATTTCTATTTCTCTTTCAGTGACTGGATGTAAGAATATAGAGTCAACATTACTGTTTCCTAAGTATGATGCAAAGTTCATAATATTTTCTGGTATTTGCTCTGCTAGTCTAGGTCCTATGTTAAGAAATATTTATTAAACCGTTCAGCTATTTCCTTATGAACTATAACCCCTATATCATTCTCCTTAAATGCATTAGGTAATATCTGTTTTAGTTTTGTTTTTATTTTTTACCTCATTTATAAGTTTTCAAATAATTTCAAATTACCCTTTGCTTTTTCTTTACTTTTTCTTTCAAGCTTTTTTCATTTTATTTAATTTATTTCGAAACCGGTTTTATAAGTCACCTTATTCATTTCGCTAGGATTTTTAATAAATAAAACTTTTAGTAAATTCTTTCCTTGATTTTCCTTGCAGTTAAAGTCTCTTTAGAGAACCATGGTGTCTTAGATATCTTAAAGCTTTTACTTCTCTGATTAATTATTGGTATAATTCTATCAAATGCTTCTGAGAGTTTTTCAAAAAATAATTTAACTGTAGGCACCTTTTGTGCTGATAGAACAATATAATAAGTAAGAAAACCATCAAATTCCCAGTAATAAATTGTTAAAGGGATCCTAAAATCGGATAAGGTACGGTGTCTAGGACACCTGGAAGCACTGGAGGAAAATGAATGATAACTTCGATTTAAAGTACAGTTGGAACTCTACAGACAGCCTTGAACCGGAAAGCTCGGATCGACGCCCCTTAAAAACACTCATTTGAACCACCGCCTCCACCAAAGTTCATAATATAGCGGGATTAAAGCGGCTGTGGCTGCAGAAAGCCTGGACCTTGCAACTTTGCCATTGGAAATGGGGAGTTCTTTTTAAGCTAAATTGCGTTGGTGACTCATTGGGGCTGGATCACAATTTAGGACAAGGAACTGAGATTAACTACTCTCTTCTTATTTTCCAGAACCCAATCTACTTTGGCAAAAACCTTAAAGTAAAGTGAAATTTTGCTTGAGTGAATACTTGTGTTATTAGTTCTACATGTCCATTATATCGAACTGGTAGGCAACTATTATTTATCTCTTAATCAATTAATAATATTACCTTTACAAACTGGAATTTCACCGATCCATTTACCATTTGCCGCACAGGTCAGAGTTCCTGATCCTTCCATTCGATAGCCGTCACGACAATTGTAGCGCACTTGTTCTTTAAACACAAACCCACCGCTGTCGACCATCATTGCTCCTACCACTTTGGGCGGGTCCTCACAAGTAATTGCTAAAACAATAACGCAAAAAAACAAAAATTGCCTGTTAAGAATTAAGTTGTCGATAAGGTTTATCAGCCTTTATATTGACGAGGACCCAGTGTTAAAAACAAATTCTTTTGTTTCACTCAATCCCTGGCAGAGTCGCCATAGTTTCGCTTGAAACTAACAACACGGGTTTGGCCTTGAGCCATTTCATGGAAAAATAATTTGGAAGCACAAGCGTCAATCCTTTTTTCGCTTTCTTACTAACAAAAAGATGTGATCTGACTATGATTTCGTTAACATAAAGGGAGTGGTCGATCACATGTTCTGAGGGTCGCGACGCATTGAACTACTGGCAACGGAGAACCTTAATCTAAAGTATACAGAAATTTAAACCTTCTCGATTCTTTCTCTCCCTTTTCTCATAACGATGGATTTAAAATCATGAATTTTGCATCCTGAGTTGCGAAAAAAGGTGCACTAGTGAACAACGAAAAAAATAAACCTTGAACGAGCAGGAAGTAGATACTATCACACATTTAGAAAAAAAAAAAAAAAACTGGGAAAAATTCGTGAGTATACATCAGGCAAGGTAAGTGGAAATGATGAACTTAATTATCCCATGACTATCAGACTTACGTTTACAGATTGGCTGTATTCCACTCCAGGTTTGGTTGGCTTGACAGGTTCTTGTTTTAGGTCCCTCCAGAATGTATCCCTCTAAGCATTTGAATCTCACTGTTTGGTTGTATTGGAACAACCACCCGACACGATTTCCATTGGTTGGAGATCCCGGATCCCCACAGCTTTTAGCTGAAAGCGTCAAACTCTGTATTAATTAACCAGTCACATAGTGGCACCCTTAATAATCGCAAAAATTAGATCCAGCAAAATTGAACTGCGACACGTATAGGCGTCCCCATTCATCTTAGGAGGCTAAAAACAGCTTTCACTGTTTCGTTTGCACAAGTGAATAGGCGTTACTCCAGAAGTTTCTTCTTAAAAGTTCGACATGATCTTCAAGTTAGCGACCGATTATATGGAAAGAGCGACTTGTAAAGTTGGGAACAAACATTCAAATACATTTGAGCCACATAAAGTGAGAAAAGTAACTCTTTTAAAAGGGCAATAAACGATTAATTAGAAATAGCTTTGGCAGAGATAGGTTCTTTCAACGCTTGAAGGAATTGGATTATTACTTCCGCTGAATCTAAGTGGAAGAAAACATTTACGTTAAAAGGTTTATAAACCTACCTACGCAAGTAACGTTGGTCTCAGTCCATTGCCCATTTGGTTGGCACTGGATTTTAACTGGTTTCCCCCTTCGAAAGAAACCTTCGGTGCATAGGATCCTGACTTTCGAGCCAACGGTGTTGTTACCGATAGCAACAGCATTTTCAGGAGCTTTCGGGACAGGACATTTCTTCACTAAACAATTTCAAGATCATTAAAAAAAATTAATAATAATAATAATTTAATAATAATAATAATAATAATAATAATGGAAACTTTATTTGTGTTTTTGAATGTACAATTGTAAATCTCGCTACGTATAGGCAATTTACAAATGCTGCTTGAGATTGGATTATTTATAAAAAGAAAAAACAAAACAAAACAAAAAACAAAAAAAAATAAAACAAAAGCCAGAAAAAAAATATCAAAATTGGATTAAGTCTGGGCTATCCCAGTTCCAATTTCTACAACAAAAGATATAATATGTTGCTCTGATGGCTATATTTATCATTTTCTTGATTATAAAAAGTTGCTGCTTTTTGTCAATGCCAATGTCATTCATCATGTCGAAGAACGTGGAGCATTCATCGGAGAAAACGCCAAGGGAACTCATGGAGAGATTTACAAATCTCACACATCTGTAATTTCTGCTCATTTCGTTGATCAAGTTCAAATATTTTTCGTTCTTACGCACTGCATTGTTGTTAAGGTTAGACTCGAAACCAACTGTTAATTCTAGAACATATAGGCACTTGGACTGGATTAGGAAAGAAATAAAATCAAGTTGATTACATCACATCATTTCATCGCCTGCAAGTCTTTGTTCTCCGTATTTAAATATCCCCGATCAGTTAGCGACACGTTTGATTTAATAGTAAAGAACATGATCGGCGCTTCGCTTTAACAAAACAAGACAAAACCTGTCACATCTCACTCGAAAACGACTTTAAAAGATGTTAAGTCTTTATATTTTGGTATGTTTTCAATAAGTACTCAAAAAGCCTTAAAGGCATCGACCCGCGGATCTCGCGTTATCGTTAGGTGCATTTTTTAAGGGGCCGTCAGAACCTCTCCCAGAGGTGCCGTTTTTAAGGGCCGTTAGGGGTCTACGCTGAGGACTCCCCTCAAACAGGAAAATGACGAACTCCACCCTTAGAGTGGAAATTTAGTTAACAAGTCATCTTCTCATGGGAAAATGATATCCTTACACTAGGAGGGCGTGAGAAATTGTCTTTCCTCAGCATCACCCAGAGAAAAACGGCGTCCTTGACCCCGTCTGTTTTTCATTTGCTTGGATTTTTAGCTGCCTGTGGTGAAAATTAAAGAAAGCCCCACCAGTCTGAAACTTTCCTTATGAATTGAAAGATCCCGAACAAAGCGTTTTAATGGCCTGGATTTCGTGCTGAATATAGCGAGTTTTTACCTTCTATAACTGATTGTATATCTTACAGTTCCGTTATGGTAGTAGTGTCAGTAGTTTTAGTTTACTTACCTGAATTGTCGTCGTCTGCTTTTGTCAGTCGCAGCAGTAAAACACAAAGAATGATACTGCCAATGCCAAACATTGTGGCGTCGTCGATCAGTTGCTTTTACCAGGAGGAAAACGTCTCAGTTTAGAGTAACGTTATGTTTCAGCAACTAAGGAAGCAGGAACACATACGAACGTGCTGAAAGGTCTCAGTCTCCTGTCATCGCATTCAATCTTATTAATTCAAAGATTGATACTTTACTTTGACACTTGGCCAATTCGTGTAAACAAGATTAGATTCACTTACACATTTTAAGAACGTGAGCTAATCAGCAATTTTCTTTTGGTCATTCTGAGAAGTAATAATGAACCGAAAACAAAATCCTTTAATACATATTTGTAACAAGAAACTCCAAATTAAGCCAAAAACGCCTTTTGGAAAACAGTTATATGTGGTTTCAGATGTTGAAAATGCCTTGGGCTACCTTTGGTGGGTTTGGAATCTCTCCAGTCCTTAAAGAGTACGTTTTGATAGCTATGGCTCAGTATAATATTACACTCAGCTCTATGTGACAGACTATTGCATCAGAAGAAGGGTCCGTTTTGAACTTCTCATGCTTGAACAAAGACGAAATAAAAAAAATGGAGATAGGCATAAAATCATAAGTCGTGGGACTTCTTGGTTTATTCGTATTACAAAGAACACGAAAAAGCAAGGGGGAAGGAAAATGGCCACATATTTGACGTTTTCTTCCGTTAAAAGCGGCGGCTTTGTTGTTTTAAAGTACTTGGGAGTGCAAGTATTAATTTCCCTATTTCGTTGGCAATCTTTCATCACTTGGGGCAACATCTGATCGCTTCAGCTCAAGCGGTTACAAAGCTAAAAGCTAAAGTCAGAGGTATATCGGAGCGGAAGTTGACAGAAGATTCATTGGTCTTGTTCATCAGTTCGTTAGTGGAAGAGGGAGTAAAATTAGCGGTTCAATATGCATTTGCGATCCCAGGTGAGGCGATTTGAGTAATCATCTTTTTCTTTTACAACTAAATTTCAATAACACATCTTTAAAGTGCAGACCAACTATTCTTAAAGACTACGTGCTGCTTCTTGTGCGGGTGGATATTTACATAGAGGTGAAACTACACAGGTCTGGAATTACTACTTTAATTGTTAGAAAAGCTGGTCAATAAATAACATGTAAGCGCATAGATATATTAGAAGAACATCTGAAACATATGTATTTCACAAAGCCTCAAGAAACTCTGGGAAAGCATATCAAAGGAAAGATTAGAAATCAAATTCAGTGTGTGCTTATTTATAAGTATCTCCCATAACCCTGATTTATTTTAAGGTATTAATTGTGGTTTGCTTTGTTAGCGTAATTGTCTCCGCAAGTCAGCGAAATAAGACGCAAAAGAGGAGTACGAGTATTACACAAAGCTTCCGAAAGCTTACGGCATTATGAAAACAAACCCAATTCAAGACCAGAGTGCACAAACCATACCCTATTTCAGACCAAAATGGTCGAAATTGATACCCTTTTTCACACCATAACAGCTAAAAACAACCATACCATTTTGCGCAGCACATACCTATATAGCCTATATAAGGGACTACCTTCCCCCCCACCCCCGGGCGAAAAACGCGTTGCAGATTATGAGTAATAACGATTAAGACTAATAATGATTAAGACTAGCTAATAACGTCATAATGGGAAGCGCAGTGATAATTGCGGGCGACAAAAGGAGCCCGCCACCTATTCTTGGTCAGTGGAATTCTTTTAAATTTATAGCGAGATTTTTCCCGAATCTCTCCACATTCTTGGAATGCCCGCATGGAAGGCCCTGGTGTTGAGTTTAAAGTCCTTCTGATGTCACTATAATCACGTTAATCGAAATGGCTTTTAAAAAGACTGTAATTTTACGCGAGTTTTCGATTTGCCGCCATCGGATTTGATGCACCCACGCTATTGTCGTTCAGCAGTTGCACGCATGGGCACCCAAATTGCCCTCCTGTTTTGCGACGTACAGTCGAACCTCCAGGTGCCACTCTCGTCTGTCCCCAAGGCGGCCGTTGTAGAGAGGTTCAACTATTGTTTATGCTCAAATTTGAGAGTTATTGACCTTGCAAAAACCCTATCGAGCCACCGTAAAGTGCCCGTGGTGTCACGCCACTAGTGAAGCAAAGAAAAAGGTGTCTTGTACATCTTCTTTTTAGGCAATTCATGAGACAAAATACAGACGCGAACAACTGGTATCATATAGATAAACAAATAGTTAATAAATAAGCAAAGAAATAAATTCTCTTATAACTCTATTTTCTTTTTTTATTTCCAGGTTGTACTGTTCATACTTGGAGCCTCATTGATCTTCTTCAGTAAAAGAACCGAGACTGCAAGTAAGCTGGAATTGCTATCTTAGCCCGTTGCTCATAGAACTAACAGTACCTCAACCTCGTTCCCAGGGTAGGAGAGAAAAATGGGAACGAGGTTGACAGTACCTTAGTCATCAACTAGCCTCCAACGCAGGCGTTTTTAGGGGAGCTCGGTTTTCATCCCGCCCCACAAACGCCTGCTCAACCGAAAAAAACATTTCTTTCCCATTGTTTTATTTGCGTGGTAAGTAACCAATCAACAGCTGTGCAATTAAGTGTTGGCAGGCTAAACGCGACTACAACGTGACCCTAGAGTTACTGTTTTTCTTCTTTTCTTTTCTTCGCTAAGGTTATGCAGTGCATGGAGTATTCTAAAATTTGACTAAATGTTATTTTTGCCGCTCTGAATCTAACATTTATTAGAGGTCAGAAAGCTTTCCCAGTGTCTCTTGCAGATCGAGTAATTATCAGAATACCTTGCGGTCAAGGTCAACTTTCCAGAATTTGGAAAGTACAATGTGATTGGCTAAGCATGGGAAAGGAATGTTGTCTTCGGTTGAGCAGGCGTTTGTGGGGAGGGATGAAAACCGAGCTCCCCTAAAAACGCCTGCGAGGGAGGCTAGTCATCAACATGATCGCTTCAGTTTTTTTTTTTCGGAGATAGCTAGTATAAAATGTGGTAGGTGGTGGTGATAATTTGTAAGGGACCCAAAGCAGGGAGTCAAGGGACAATATACCTCGGGCGTTTTGCAAAGGAAAATTGCGATGCTCCTTACAGGCCGAAGCGAACCGGCAAAGAAAATAATTCAGTAATTGAAAAATAATACCAGGCCTATTTACCTTTTTCGTAAATCGTATTTGTCCTTTGGTACTGAAATTGAAAAATGCAAGCGACAGTCACTGCAACCGTGTAAACTCTAATAAACCGACAACAACGCGCGCTGGAGGGCCGTGGATAAAACCAGGAACATGGAACATTCCGGAACATCCCCAAACATGAAAAAAATAAAATATGTTTTATGAAAAAATAATTAATTAATTAATTACATTTTTTCTAATATATATATATATATATATATTTTTAATGGAATGAATTTTTGCAATCGAAATTAAGTGTCTTTTTTTTAAATCGAAAGGAATTGTAAATAGTGCTTTGACTGAATGGTCTTTTAAGTAAAAAATAATCGTAAATAGGATTTTATAGTTAGCTTTATTATCATTAATAAAACAATAATAATAATAATAATAATAGGAAGAAAACCAATTTTTGCAAACTTCTATAAAGGGAGGATAAAAGTTCGAGTTCAATTATTGGGTCATTATTTTATTCCGCGGAACTCGAAATTGTTTTTGTTTTTTATTTGGCAATTATCTGGGATGAATAGTCAACTTTGCTATCCGACGGAAATCAACATAAGAATTAAATTTAATTCAGGAAAGTCTAGTCGCCGAGAATAAAGTTGCGCATTAATGTTTCCAAAATGAAATATTGTCCACGAAGATCTAGTAACGTCACAAAGCAACAAACAGATTAGCAGATAAATAGATTGCAAACTTCACTTGCGACTCCAGGAGAGGGCTGAAATCCAGGCTAAGTGCTAACAGTTAGAAACTACCACTGCGCTACAACTACCGCTTAAACTATTCACTGCGAATGTAAATCTTGACTACTTAAGTCCAAAGCCACAAGCTGCTATATAAGCTCTTCTTAAAGTGCTACTGAAACGAAAAATCAAATTGGCTATTTTGCACTGAAAACGATTTATCAATCTTAGATGAACTCTAATTGTCAATAAAAATGCTTATTTTCCATCAAAAGCTGTTGTTATCGGGGCGAAAAGTAGGTACGTAAGTGCGTCAAAAAAAGAAATATTGAGCCTGCGAAATTTTCAGCGGAGGACCACGCGAGTGACGTCACATGGTTGTCATCAAAGTAGCGAAGGTCTCTTTCGAGCTTACAGTAAACATCAATTGCAATTGTTTATATCATTCTTCACGGAAAAAATGTGTAGGTTAGACGATCCAGATACTAACACAAGCGATAAGTGTGTTTCCGGAGAAAGGAACAGAGAACGCGAGAGAGATTCTGGCGTAGTTTGTGTCCTTGTCATGTGGAGCCGTTTCGGTCCGAGCCCGTTGCGAGGAAGGCCTTTATTTTGAGTGAACCAGACGAACAAGACTGGCTACTATACCACAGGTGGCCCAGACGTAGTATGTGTCACTGAATGAATATATTAATATACACATGGACAAATTAATGCGATGAGTCGTCAGGGGCACCCAACGAGAACATAGTTCAAAACCATTTAACTATAGCATTGTTAAACGTGTTTTAGTATTTAAACGGTGAATATGGGCATATTTTTATCCCCTATAAATTTTTCATCTGTTCGGATTTCCTAGCTGAAAGTCTAGTGATCCGAAAATTATAGGGATCAAATCCGTACCTGTTCGAAAATTTCAGCCAGAAAAAAGGTTCCCGAAAATTCTAGGTGACCTTTTTAGGGTAAAAATCCGTTGAAAATGGGCAATTTTACCATTTTTTAGATGTTCGAAAATCCTAGGAGAGGCAGACAAGCAAGTAATTTTACAACAAATCTTCCAAAAATTCTAGATCTCGAATCGTCTTCCGAACATATATTTTTCCGAAAATTGTCGTTGGGTGCCCCTGAGTCGTCGAAACTCCCATGGACTAAAATAGTCTAAAAGTCAAAATATAACAAAAAAAAGCTAAGATACCTTCAACTGAACCTATCCTTGTCTTTCCTGGCCGGTTTAAGTGGCATTTTGTTGAGTTTTGAAATTGTAGGTAGTATCCACTAAAGAAGAATTAAAGGCTGGCTACAAAACAAACAGACCATCTCC